ATGGTATTCTTTGCCAGGCAGCGATTTCTCTTCCTTTATAACAAAAGCCCAGTCAAATCACTGTCTCTCAAATTGTTTTTATTGGAACAATGAGGCAGGCTCGAAATACTTTACACTCTCTTTGAACTTACTCACGAAGGGCACTTGTGCTCAGTTGGCTCTTAGTGACGGGCTGAGCGAGCCCGACTCGCCGGCAGCCAGCAGGGGGAGAGTGGCGATAGAGAGCAGGAGACAGACAGCTGAAGAGAAGGAGAGGAGGGAGAAGAGAGAAGAAGCATGGCTTGAGCAGCCAGCCTTGGCATCATAACATGTATTGCCTCTTAACATTTATACACTTGAACCGCAACCGTGTCGTCATCACATTCAAACATCATAAAGTACAGTGAATCAATCGTATCAAGTTCTAACTGAGTTCCTCACCCTCCGCCTTCACACTTGAGCTCCTCGTCGTCCTCGCCCCTCCTGTACTCCTCGTCGTCCTCGCCCCCCTTGTGCTCGTTGCCTTCGCCGTCCTCCCCCCTTGCCCTGCCTTCGCCACCCTCCCTCTCACGCTCGTCGCTTTCCTCCCCCTGGCGCTCGCTCCTGCTCTTCCTCGTGCCCCTGCTGCCCGCCCTCTCCGTGGTGCTGGTCGGCTCAAGCTGGTGCTGCCTCCTTCCTCGGAGCTGCTTGGTGCCTCCGAGACAGCAGCTGTCTTTCTTTCCCTTGGCGTCGCAGCTGGCATGGCGAGCTTTCCTCGAGCGGCAGGCTTCTTTCCGCCGGAGGGAGGCCGGAGGGAAGGAGCCGAAGCCGCGCGAGGCGCGCTCGAGCTTCTGCTTGATCTGCTTTGTGCGGCTCTTGTGCGAGGCATCGAATCTGAGGTGAGCTCTCCGCTTGTCTCAGTCGCCGAACCTTTTTTTGTCTGAATCGATCCTGCCTGTGCAACGCCAGGTCTACCTCTCGCGCCGCCCTTGTTCCTCGCCCCTCCTGTACTCCTCGTCGTCCTCGCCCCCCTTGTGCTCGTTGCCTTCGCCGTCCTCCCCCCTTGCCCTGCCTTCGCCACCCTCCCTCTCACGCTCGTCGCTTTCCTCCCCCTGGCGCTCGCTCCTGCTCTTCCTCGTGCCCCTGCTGCCCGCCCTCTCCGTGGTGCTGGTCGGCTCAAGCTGGTGCTGCCTCCTTCCTCGGAGCTGCTTGGTGCCTCCGAGACAGCAGCTGTCTTTCTTCCCCTTGGCGTCGCAGCTGGCATGGCGAGCTTTCCTCGAGCGGCAGGCTTCTTTCCGCCGGAGGGAGGCCGGAGGGAAGGAGCCGAAGCCGCGCGAGGCGCGCTCGAGCTTCTGCTTGTCGACTTTTCCGTCTGTAGCTGCTTGGTTGCTTTCCTTCCCCTCGACGTTTGCGGTTTCAAGTCAGCCACTTGCTCCTCCGGCTTGATCCCCTTGCTCTTTCGTGCACCCCCCTGCGCTCCTTTTTCCTTGACCAGCGCTGAATCTTTCTCAGGTTCATCCCCGATCTTGTCAAGTGATTCATGGAGCTCGTTGAGCCAAGAGTCCTCGTTCGACTCCTCTGGTGTGCTCTCTTTCTTGGAGAAGTGCTCGAGGATCAACTTATCAAAATCCTTCGGCGACTTCTTGCTGTTCAGTTCACGCAGGATCTGGATCGGATCGTTGCCACCAGACGTGGCTAAGTCTTCCGAAGTCACGTCTCTCAACATGGGCTCCTGGGGTTTTCTCCCTGAAGTACGCCCAAACGTGAGAGCTCTGGATGAGGAGCCTACAGCAGAAGAGTCAACATTGCCACCAAGTCAGTCAGTTCTGACCTCGCGGCTTCCTTCCTCGAGATCCTCGTGACGAGAATTGCGGGGAGAGAGATACATCATGGAACTGCGAAGATTGTGAGGCACAGGCGGGTTGCAATGGGCATCCTCAACCTCATCCATATCTGAAGCGTCGAAAAAGCGATTTCTATTTGCATACCCAGATTGTCTAGCACGTCGACCTGAACTTGTTCGGCCTCTAGAAGCCAGTGCACGGAATCTTGCTTCCACATCTTCGGAGGGATCGGATTCGACGTAATAGCCTTCATCCAAGAGGTTCTGTTGACCCATGCTGGTCGCTGCCTTGAGCATCGCTGCACCTCTCATATAGTTGCCTCCCATGTTCATATAACCTCGATCGTCTTCAGCACACAAGCGTGTCAAGTCTTGCAAAGAGCACAGCATGGAGTGGGAAGTTACCTGGAGGCTGCCCGTGAGAACTTTTGGAGTTCATAAGAGCTTCCCGCAGAGACAGAGCGGGAGGAGGAGCGAATGGCGGGTACTGGAACTGGTTCGGATGCATCATGTCTGTTAATAGAATTCAGCAACAGACATTCGAGTCCAGCGAGATCACATTGCCCATTCGTCGGTTGACAGAAATATGGGTTGTTGTATGGGTAGTACGGATAGCCCATCTGGTGGTTCCAGGCGGCTGGAGCTGATTGCTCATTGTTTTGCATCTAGAAAGAAAATCAACATCCAGGATCACTGACTGTCACTTTCTGACCATGTTCATCTCTCTTTGTAGCTGGTTCCTTGCCATGTGTAACTGTTTCTTCATCAAGCTCGCCTTCAGAAGGGTCAGCCCAATCAACGAACAAACAACTTGACTCTGCATTATACCATCTGATCATCTGTGTCTTGGGATGGTGGTTTGGATTCCATGCTCGAAACATGGGAACCAAACAGAGGATCGTCGTCAAATGTATCTCTTTGTTTGCTGTCAAAGGTTTGCTCCTTCGTCTCATAGAAGGTCGGCTGAACTTTTGATGGACTGGGGATCGGGAAACCATCCGGAATTACATTGATTTGAGCCGCCTTACAAGCATTCGGCCAAGAAAGCGCCAAAATACAAGCTGATGATAGCAAAACTGCTCTAAATCGCTTGGGATTGACAATAGGTGTCTCAGCGAGCATAATTAGGCAGTCAAAATTCAAGTCCAATTTCCATTCAGAGAAACATCATCGACGAATCTTTCTGTTTGAATGCTTTGAGAATGTCACTTACTTCCTGTTCCAATTTCGCAATTGTTTCTCGTGTCCACTTGCTTCACAATCGTCCGAGATCAAACCTTTAGGCTCATGGAAGTGATTGCTTTCACAAAGCTTCGTCTTCTAAGTCTGCAACAGCTACTTGTTCAGTCCCTGTCCCTGTCCCTGCCCCTGCCCCTATCTCTTGCCCTCCTTCCTGCTCCCTCCAGTGCTCAAGCAACCAATCTACTACCCTCTGTGATCCCTCCCCCCCCACCCCTGTACCCTGGATTTCATAATCCAGTACCCCCATCCACGACTTCTTACCAGGACCCCCCAGTGAGAGGACCCCATCCATTTTGAATTTGAATCCCCGATGAGGACGTTCATCGCCCTCCGACCCACCTTGATGAGAATGAGGGCGATGATAAACGCCCATTCGGAGATTTTCAAGGAGCGTACTTTTGATGCCTGACTGCGTACTTAGAAGGGTGAACAGTCCTGGGGAGCTGATCAGCCTAGGTTGCCAGTACTAATGATGAGTCATTATTGCTAAAATTAAAACACGTGTTTTTTAAAACTACTGGGAGCGAGTAGGACAATGCTGGACCAGGGGTGGGGAAGCTACGGATAATGGCGGGGGAGAGGAGCAGGAGAGGAGAAGGAGAGGAGAAGGAGAGAAGAAGGAGAGGAGAAGGAGAAGCGCAGATCAGTTGAGGTGAAGCAGGGGAGTAGGGAGCTTAGGAGAGGAGATTGCTGTACGATTCTGCTTATTCTGATCTACCTGTTGCAGGTGCAAGTAGAACCATGTTCCTCCCAGCAAGCATGCAGAAGATTGAAACAGCGGAGAAGCGACGCACGATCACGCCGGAAGACCATCCCATGTTTCCGGCCGAGACGAAGCAGATGCTTGAGAAGCTGGCAAGCAGCACCACCGACGAGTACTTCACTTCTTCACGAGGCCTTAGGCTCTTCACTCGGACGATGACACCGACAGACCCTCCTCGGGGAGCCATTCTGATCTGCCACGGGTACGGAGACCACTTGCGATGGTTCCTATGCGACACCATGGTCAAGTTCGTGGAAGCGGGGTTTGTCGTCACGGGTTTGGAGATGGAGGGGCATGGCTGGTCGGATGGGAACATCGCGATGCTGGACAACTTCGAGCTAGCGCTGCAGGACGTCTTCGAGTACCTCAAGCACATGCAGAAGAAGTTCTCCGAGCTGCGCTGGCTGATCTTCGGTGAGTCCATGGGCGGCATGGTGGCGATCCGCGCTTCAATTGAGGCGCAGAAACAAGGGTGGGAGGGGGAGCCGGTCCACGGGGCGATTCTCCAGGCACCCATGTGCACCATAGCGCCTGAGATGAAGCCTTCGGAGTTCATGGTTGGAGCCCTTCGCGTCCTCTCCCACATTATCCCGTCTGTTCCGATGGTCCCGTCTGACATCTCAGTAGAAAAGATGATTCGCAGGCCTGACATGCTGGCGGTTGGAAAGGCAAACCCGCTCTGCTACGTCGGACTTCCTCGTCTCGCAACAGCTCGTGAGCTCTACGATGCCACCCTAAAGCTGGACAGCGAGATGGAGCAGATGAAGACTCCGTTCCTAGTCCTGCATGGCTCGGCCGACGTCATCACAAACATCGAAGGAAGCAGAGCATTGCATGCAAGAGCCGGGTGCTCGCCAGAGAAGAAGACCATCAAGGTCTACGAGGATGCATGGCATGCACTTACCTCCGGGGAGCCAGAGCCAGTCAACGGGGAGGTTTGGAGGGACATACTAGAGTGGGCTCAGGCCAACGTTTGAACACTTGAAGCGAATGCGGTAGGTAGGTTTGGCACGGCATGAAGCTGCTTAAAACCAATCTCAGGGGAGGGGAATGCGCTGGTGAACAAGGAAATGCACCAGCATAAGTTTTGAACGATTTTCAAGGGACTATAAACATTCATGTGAACGCGGAGTCTCAGTCTTTTCTGTTTTTTCATGTACCACAACAATGTTGAACACCCGATGAACCACTCGGATGTCCGTGAGTTACTGCCTTACCAAATGCTTTCTACCGAATCTCAGCCAACGTTGGCACATTTTTCTCACTTCGGCCTGTTCCATTGCACCAGTTCAGATTGAAACGCTCAACGGCCTAATCGAGGTCGATGTCCGCTTGACTCTTGACCCATCGATCCTGAGCGAAGAAGAAGAGGGAGATTACTGTTCCAACCTGCGATGAATCCTGTGAGACAGCCACAAGCACAGCAAGAGCAATCACCATGACCAAGAACGAGGACACATAGTACCATGCTGGAGTGTTACCGTAAACCTGAAGCTGCCTGAATTTGGAAATGGAAGTCATCATCGTTGCCATTCCAACACCATTTCGCTCTCACCTGCGCAAAGCCGCCATCCTGATCTCATTCTTATGAGAAAGGGACAAAACTGAAGGATCCAGTCACTGGATAAGACGGGGTCGGATATATCGCACCGGGATCTCCTGGAAACTTTTCCCTTGCTTCCTCAATAGTCTGTTCATTGAAAGATTTAGCAGATAAGTCCAACGAGTCCACATGCAGTTAGCAGATCAAGTCCAACGAGTCGACATGCAGAAGAGGATCTTGTGCTCTTCAAGAGGAATGCAGGACATGAGTTGAAAAACATCACCTTCGATGTAACAAGCGGAGGAGCATCCGGCCTGTCAGAAGGCCAAGGCTGAATGACTTCACCCTCCTCTGGAATCACAGCTGACTGAGGCGCTTGCGATCCATACGGCTGCACTCCATATCAGGACCTGAGAGGAAAAGGAAGTGACTTGCACCTGAGCGAAAGTTGGATAGTTTGAATATGCCTCCTGCAGAAATGAAGGTGTCAAGGATTAGTATCTCAGACAGCACCTTCATGCTCACTTGAAGCTTCTCCTGAATGTTCAGGTTCTCTGGAGAACGTTGCATCATCGAATTGCAACTCGAAAAAAATCAATTAATCACCATCTCTAACGTTGCAGTGAGCCAGGCAGAAACAAAGAAGAAAAACGTAAGCTGAAATGAAGTCAACATACACGATTGGCACGGGCAAAGATAACAACCTGAGAAGTAGAAATAATTCCACCTTCGTCTTGACGAGTATTCCATGAATGCTTCAAAGTGCCATTCAAAAGTAACGAAGACCTGAACCCTAATGTTGAGTTAGCAAGAATCACGCAAGAATCAAGGAGGGAAAATGTGGAAGGGAGACAGGAGGGAAGGTTTGAGAGAGGAGGGAGAAGCAAATTACAGAAAAGGAAGGTTTGAGAGAGGAGGGAGAAGCAAAGCACAGGAGGGGAGGACGGGGAGAGGAGGGATCAAGGAAGGACGGGGAGGGGGCAGAGACGGCATTGCGAGCATCATGGAATTGCATTATGGACGAAAATAGATAACGGAAAGTAACGTTTCATTGTGGGATGAATACGGGAGGGGATGAGGGGACCATGGATTAGGTGTCCTCCATGTTCGATCTATGCACCTTGAAGACTGGCGAACATGGCTAATGAGAAGTTGAGAGCGAACATGAGAAAATGAGAGAAGAGAAGAGAAGAGAAGAGAAGAGAAGAGAAGAGAAGAGAAGAGAAGAGAAGAGATCAGAAGAGAAGAGAAGAGAAGAGAAGAGAAGAGAAGAGAAGAGAAGAGAAGAGAAGAGAAGAGAAGAGAAGATCAAATGGACATGAGATTGTCTTAACAGAGATGAGCGAAGTTATTTAGATCCCAAGGATGGAAACAGGTTAGTCTACAAGTGCCAACCACAATCTGACCAACTTAAGAGTGAAGATCTCTTGGTTGAAAGACTGCAGATAGGAGCTACTTCAGATAGGAGCTACTTCAGATAAGAGCTACTTCAGATAGGAGCTACTTCAGATAGGAGCTACTTCAGACAGGAGCTACTTCAGATAGGAGCTACTTCAGATAGGAGCTACTTCAGATAGGAGCTACTTCAGATAGGAGCTACTTCAGATAGGAGCTACTTCAGATAGGAGCTACTTCAGATAGGAGCTACTTCAGATAGGAGCTACTTCAGATAGGAGCTATGAGGTATTGCAGAATTGGCTAGTCTCGACAATCACAACAACAGAGGAGGCATGCCGCCTATCATAATGCACACTGAAACTTCTCATGGTGAAGTTCCGAACTGATTTTCAATCATGCAGGAAGCATCGATGAGACGGACGGCTAATCCGATGTTTCAGGTAATGAGCTCATCTTCAATCTCTTTCTCAATCCTCATCCAACTCACTCACTCTCTATGTCCTGCAGCAAGGGATTCTTGGTCGAGGTTCAAACTCTCCCATGGTCGAGTTTCGATGCGGGAAGATGAAGGTGGATGGCAACGGAACGACAGTGCGAGCAGATCCCCGCAAAGGACGTCTGACTGTGAAGAAGTCGCCGGAGGATGATCTGATGCATCTTACCTGGACAGACAGGAGCCAAGGTGATCCCAGTTGACTCGAACTTACCCTTTGCTAAGAGAACTCCTTCAAAGGTCTCACTGAAGACGACTTCATCATATTCCCCGGAGATGCCGTCTTTGAGTATGTGGAACAAGCCAAGGACAACGCTAAGAACAACAGGTCACTGGCTTGCCTTCCCTGATGGCCTAGATCGCTGATCTCATCGTTGCCTGGCACATCAGAGTTTATGTATTGAAGTTTACATCCACGCGTAAACTTCATTTCTATTGGATGCAGGTGAGCTGCGAACAAGGAAAACATCCTGCTGAGCTGTCTTGCCGACAGGAGCCCAGCAACGAGAAGGATGCTGAGTATGCAGGCAAAGTGAACGCGTACATCAATGGGGTGAGGACTCCCTTCTCTTCCTCCTGCCTTTGCCTTGACGACGAGCAGGAGTCGGACCCCAGCGCTCCAGCAGGGATCAGCGCGAGCATCGGGCAGGCAGATCAGGTTTCCTTCTTCATCATGCTCCTCGGAGGGCACTGATGGCTTGTCAGGCGCAAATGCTGGCGATGCTCACGCAAGGGCGGCAGCGTCCGTCGGAGGGCGAGGCAGCCGGAGAGGGAGCGAACGAGAGTGCAGATACATCGAACGAGGGAGCAGGCGAAGCTGGCAGCGCGGACAGAGCAGAAGGGGGGGAAGGGAGTGGAGAGGGCGCAGGGCAGCAGGACAACATGGACGTGGAAGAGTCACAGCAGCCGAAGTGAGCTGTTTCAGCTACCTCCCAGCTGTTGCTGCGATGTTTGATACACTTTCATTGAATCAGCTAGAAATCATGCGAAACGATTTACATTACATCAGGCCGAGGCTTTCAACCTGCCCGCCCATGGCCTCTTGCACTGGAAAAACTTGTCGCAAACTCTCAAGGGAAAAATTCTTGGAAGGCGGGTAGATGGTCAGGTTCATCCGTCCTTCTGCGGGAGCAGCTGAAGATTCGGGTGGATGCCGCTCTCCTCGGCCTCCTCATCCTGCAGAGCTGCCGTCAGGTTTCATCCGCCTCTCGTGCTTCCTCACCTGTGGCGAGAAGACAAACTCGTCCGGCGCCCACGTTGTCGTTGTATCTTCAAGGGTTCCATGCGCCCGCTGCTGCGCTCCCGCCGCAAGCGCCTGAGAAGATTCAGAGGGGTGAGGGAGGTGGGGAAGTAGCAAAGCAAGAAAGACGCATAAGGGACTTAATGAGTAGAGCATACAGAAGCAGGTGGGGGATGTGGACGAGGGGGAAGGAGGTAGGGCGAGGACGCGTGGGTACCTGCTGTGCCGCAACTTGCTGTCCCTGGAGCTGAGCCATGAGCGCTTGATGTGCAGCAATGGGCTGCGTTAGGCCTGGCAGCTGGAGGTGCTGAGCTGCCAGCTGTTTGCCGAGTCTCAGTCACGAGGAGGCCAGAGAGGAGGCGAACCTGCTGCTGCTGGAGCATGGAAGCAACTTGACTCGCATCGCCAGCCCCCGATCCGAAGAGGTGGTCAAACCAACTGCATCACTTTGAGTCGGGGCAAGAGCGTCAGGTCACCCACAGGACCTGCAGTTGGCGGGCCCGTTCTCCGAGAAGGAGCCGATGGAGGCGAGAGAGTCCTCCACGTAGCCGAAGGGGGTAGAGACCTGCAACTCTTCTCAGTAGCTGGCTCGTGGGCTCGTCCGGTCTACTGACCTGGTGGGTCGAGTCCATGATCGGCGTTAGCGGCGTTCCCACCCCCAGCGGGGTCCCGACCAGCCCGTAGGCGCCAGGAGTGCCGACGAAGGCGCTAGAGAGGGGCTAGTAAGCGAAGCAGCTGAGGCGACAAGTTACAGCTCACCTGTTGGGAGTTCCCAGGGCAGCAGGAGGAGGGAGAAACTGCGGGACGACAGAGGAGACAGAATTGGAGAGCGTTCTGGCAGACGCGGTATTGTTGAATCCAGCTGACGAGAGGCTGCCCATCACATTCATCCCACCGAGACGCAGGCTTTGACTAGCACCAAGGAATGACTGGCCCGATGGCGTCGTGCCCATCCAAGAGATGGACGAACCACCAGGGGGGTCGCTCAACAGCTGCGTTGGGAGAGGCTTCTTCTCCATTTCTTCTGTGTTCTCATCCGAAGAATCCCAGTCATCGTCACCTCCATTCTCGTCCAAATCCTCTTCGTCGTCTTGCAGCGATTCCTTATCAGCGTACTTCTGGTCCTGTAGCGCGGACCCAGACTTGGAGTCTTCGTTTCCTGGTGCACCTGACACTGACGAAGTGTCTGATTTGTCCATGTAATCCTGCTGAATACCCTTTCGCACATTGTGTTTGATTCTTCTTCTGTATCTCTTACAATGCAAATGGACTTTGTTGCACTCAATTAGTGTACAGCAACAGTGTCTCGTACAAATGGGACATCTCCAATTCGCTGCATTCGCATCTGCCTGGCCTTTGAAGCTAGTTGGCCTGCCAAGATGCCTCTTACAACAATTTTCACAAAACATCTGATCGCAACTCGGATCCAGGCATGCAAAAATTGAGCAACGCTTTGGTGCGTGTTCACAGAAGTGACAATTCTTGTTTTTGTCGACGTTGTCAGCAGCTGCCTGGGATTTCTTAGTAATTACTTCTACTGGCTCTTTTCCCTCAGGCTTGCCAACTTCAATTTCTGTGGATCCACTGGGTTTACGTTTCCTGCGTCTTCGAATGGCACCTTTACCGTCCAGAATGGCTCTGTCAGGAATGCCGTTGGACATGACGTTTGAATCTCCATTTGCAAAATCAGGGGTAGTATTCAACTTCGTTGCCAGATCAGACATGGAAGGGATGGGAACCTTCCCTCTACCAGCACGCTTCTTATTTGCATCTAAACCCGCCATCGCCGCCAGGTTTTCCGTGAGCATGTTTGGTCTCACAGGTGGTTCCATCTTTACTCCAGCGAGCGTAACACCAGGAAAATTGCTTTCAATGGGCCAGGGGGTTGTGGTCGGCATGGATCCTGTCAACGCCACATGCATTCTTGCCTGCTGCATCATGGTAGCAGGCAGTTGCGGAGCAGCATTCATCATCGCTGGGTTCTGAAATGGCGGCCTTGACCAATTTTGAAGATCTGGCCTCCCATTCACAGCAGGAGGCATTCTGACCATTGGTGGAGCAGGCGCTGGTTTTGCCGGTATCAAGCGTTCCATAGATGCCTCAGCGACTTCGAAGCAATTCACACCATGACAGAAGGAACAGCTGTACGACCCAGGAAAAAGGATCAAGAACTCGCCTGAGGCACTGAGTCTTAGGAAGGAGCAGAAAGCTTCAACATTATGACTTGACCTGCTTGTTGCGTGGCTTTCTGTAAGGGTATCTTGTGCTTGCTGAGAACCTGCATTTGCCTTCAGTGTCATGATAAGGCGGAATCCGCTCAAATGCGACAGTCAAGGCATCGCGGTTGAAAGTAGGAGCAATGGAGCTACTCACCACCGGATCTATTAGAAGTGGGCTTTTGGCCAGGACAGAACTAGAATCCATTCCTTTCTCTACTTGACCAGGCCTGCACGGAAATTGAGATGAAAGTCACACAGAAAAGGGCAATGGCTCACCTCAATTGTCCAATAAGATTCACCATCTCTTTCCGGTGCGATGGTGGAATTACGTAGACGGTCCGAGGCTTTCCGAAATGGAGATAACTAATGTTGCAGAAAGGCTCCTCAGAACAGGTCAATCCACGAGACTGTAAAGCATGCGGCTGTCAGCACCACAGGCACGACGAGCCCTACCTACTCACCGTGAACGTCATGCCGAAGGAGAGCCCATTGATTCCTTGTGCTGACACCTGCCAGGAACGAGGATTCTTGGTTTTGACCTGAAGATTGTGCCAGTAAGTGAATTTGCTGGAAATGAGATCAAAGCCTACTTGTCCCTCAAAGTTGGAAAGATTCCATGAAGAGATGGTTTTTTCAAACAGGGAAGAGTTCATGCTGTGAGCTGTGTAAACCGACGGAGCTCCCGTTCCCAATGTCCTCCAGAATTCGATCTCAGCTGCTCGAGGGTCCTCAGACCACTTAGAGGAATCGTGATGGTCCGACTCTGATAGAAGCCTTTGCAAATCAGACAGATACATCGATCCTGCTTCTTCAACGGACAGTTGGTACAGTCCGCACTCCCCTTCGGCGCTCTGTGACCCGAAGCACCTTATGAGAGTTTCTGCGTTTTCATACGAAAGCCGAGCCCGATAACCCTCCGGAGGTACGACCCTGACGGCACCATGCATCTGTCCGAGCTTGGAGACGGAGCCCAAGTAAGTACCCAAATCCGAAAATTCGCCAGGGTTAGGTCTGAGAACTGGAAGATCGGGCGGTCCAGCTGGCAACGGCAATTTCTTTAGAACGGGCTTGACTGAGTTTGCCATCGCTGCCATGTTATGTAAATTCAAGTTCAAGTTCACTAGAGGAACAAGCCTTTTCTGAGAATCTTATCAAATGAGAGGCATGCTGTCGAAGTAACCAATCATCTAACCCCAACTGGTCAGCTCTGTGCTAAAATGGATGTTGGAAAAACTTGGTGCAGTGTGCTCGACGCATGCCTCGTCTCACCAGGCCAAAGGAAAGCCTTGGGGCCCAATTGATCGCATCAACCAGCGTCTGTTTCTTCCTTTGCCCAGTGCTCATCAAACTTTGGGACAGACGGCACGAGCGCACTTGAATTCCCAAAGCAACAAGAGTATTCAATCCTCTAGGTCGCAGCCAGTGTGCAGCTCAAGGCCTGAAAGCCTACAAGCAAGCAGTCAGTTACGTAAAATGGCATTGTTCAGTGCACTGAGTACAGAGCCAGAGAGTGGACGAAAACAAAAGAGAACTGGTTTCAAACCCAATGATTTATCCCCCTCCTCCTCTCCTCCTCCGTCACAACAATGAAGGTCGATCAGAATGCTGGCAATAACGGATATGCACCATTGCTGGGTATCTTTGTCACAATTCCGGAAATGACGACAATTCTAGTCTGTCTTCAGCGTAAGTATGATTCCTTACATTCCTTGCACAAACTGTTCTAAGCGGTCGATTCGGCGGGAAACATGCAATCTTGCAAGAGCTATCTTTCTCAAATCCTTAAATGGAAACAGTAGAAGAGGTGTCTCATCTACTGGGAACTATTTGTCTTACACTTGGAAAAAATAACATACATGGCATATATCAGGTGATCATTTGCTCTGATGAAATCACAACCGATCCACAAGCTCTCTAACCATCAGTTCAAAACTTTGGTCCCACTTTCAAAGGGCAGCCCCATGAATGAGGAAGAAGAAATGGCAGGTGAAGGACAATAATTGGATGTGTCAGGGTAGGAGGTGAGACTTGGAGGTGACGGGGAGACGAAGTGAGTGCGATGGATGAGGGATGTGCGTAAATGCGATCAGCATCGCACTGCCCCTGCATCGGCCCCTGCCATGGCGCCGGCGCAAGCTGGTGGATTAGGCTTAGTGCCGAAAGAGGGGTAGGGGTGGAGATGACAGGGGTCCCTTTGTCTTCTTACTACCCCTGGTGTATCCAGTGGATGTTGGTGAACAGAGGTGAAGCAGAGGTCAAGGGGGGTGTCTGAAGACGAAATTTGATTTCATTTTGAGACATTGGGAGGAATTTTTGAAATATTTCTGTATCAAAAATTGAAATCTAGCAGGGCGGCGTTGATTACAGTTTTAGTTCATAACTAATCTTGGCAATATTTGAAAAAAAATCTCTAAATTTCAATAATTCCGGGAAAAGTGAATCAATTGCTCAGCCCCACGGAGGTAGGGGTCCTGAACTCTTGGCGAGTTCATTTGCAACAAGGGTAGCGGTAGTGACCCCTACCCCTTAAAAATAGACCTCCAGAATCTCATTTATATAGGGTCTTCAGTTGCGTCCACCCAGATGCGGCAGGGATATACGGGGATGAAAGGCTACGGGAAAGTACAGGGGTAGGGTGGGTGGTTCCATGAAATTTGGGGAGCAGAAAACAGATTTGGGGAAGCGAACTTGGGGAAGAAAAGGAAAACCAGGGGAGTAAATAGAGGTAATATGGGTGGGGTATGTTCATGGATAATTGGGGGTAGGGGTAGTTTGTGCGGGAAAAAGGACAGACGAGGTAACCTGAATCAAAACAAGCTTGAGGCGGGCTTGTGCTTTCACTCACTTTAAATGGGCTGATGGGGGATGGGGGCAACGATGGCGTCAGTGGGCGGATTGGACATGTAGCGCCGAAGGAAGGAGGCGATAAGACAAGGAGGAGGAGGAGTGAGGAAATGAGGAGACGATGAAAAGGAGGGGAAGGCTGGGAAGAGAAAGAGTACTTGACTGGACGAGGAAGGGAGCATAGAAGAAGGATTGTCAGGGGAGGAAGCAAGGATTGAAGAAGGATTGGGAGGGGTGAGGAAAATCCCTCAGCACAAGACTGAGGGGAGGCGAGAGAAGCGGAAGAAGATGAGTAAGAGGCGGTCTGCAGGAGGAAGGCCAGGAGGATCAAGACGATCAGATGATACGAATTGACCCGAGGAACATAGCAAGACGATCTTCGGAAGAAGCGTACTTGAGCTAGATGGTGCTGTCCTTGCCTTGTCGTTGGCCTTCTGGAGGGTCACGGTGCCTCGTCGTGGTCATGTGTCTACTGATGCAGCTGCGAGTTGGTCCTTGCAAAGTCTTGTATAGTGGGTGCAGGTCGTGTCACTTCTCCTCCATGGGTGTTAGAGCCCTCTCGCTTCGGGGCGGAACCTCGTGGTGGGAGGAGGATTCCGAGCTGAAGGGGGAGGTCGAGAAGTTACAGGAAGCTCTAAGAAAGGTCCAAGATGGTCGTAGCTCGTCTCCAGACGCAGAGTCGGATGAAGTGTCAAAGATCTCAAGTTTCAGCGAAGAGACGAAAAGGACGCTGGTTGAAGAGTTCAACAATGACAGTCAATGGGAGAACAAAACACTGATCCCACTCCAGTATGGAAATGATACCGCGATAGAGATCCAGTGGCAGCAGGAAAACCAGCATGGAGACATCCAGTACTTCAGAAGGTATGGAAAGCCCTCCCCGAAGTTCCTGGAGTGGAAGAGGAGGCAGATTGAAGAGGAGAAATTGCAGAAGAAGTTGAAGTTTGAGTCATACCAGACTGCAGACGAGATCCCGTTACCGGCCTCGTGCGATTCAGATGATGAATGCAACTGGTACTGGCACAGCAACGGCAGTATGATGTGGCGACGGTCGGGGAAGCAGTATTACGAACCTGTGCATGACTTTCCGTACGTTCCAGGGGAACTGAAGTCTCTGCTGACTGGCACGGCAGGGATTTGGACGAGAGGTACTTGGGGAAGCCCGTGCCCAGGTGAGAGAGAAGGAGGTGAATGGGGGGAGAGGTGAGGGAGGAGGAGGTGGGGGGGGGGGGAGAGGTGAGGGGGGAGGAGGAAGAGGTTGGGGAGAGGTGAGGGATTCCGATGACGACTGCGGCTCAGGTTCTATCTCGGGGAATTGGATGTGACCAACACGATGTGTGCCATCTTGAACTATACAGTGGGAGGAGAGATGAAACCTCTGGAGGATGAGCCGGGGTCAGTATGGTTGACGGCCTCCCCGACAGAGTGCTGACCGTGTCTGGCAGTCCAACAAAGAGCGCTTCTTTCAACCAGATGCTGGAGGACGTACTGAATACAAGAAAACTTCCAGACCCCAGGAATCGAACGTTCTGGGAGCAGTTCAAGGACGTCGGAAAGTATACAGTCGACCATGGGATATGCATGAAGAAGCTCAACGTACGGCCACCAAGTTACGACGAGACCTTGCGAGACGCGCTGGACAGTTGCAAATCATACCGATGGACAGAACTAGTTCCCTCCAACCTAGCAAAGATGCAGAGGAAGCTTGATGTTGATCGCACCAGCTTCAAGTTGAGTGGAGGGAAATTCAGGATCGATGGAGAGCTGATCGTTTCTGAGAGGAGAACTTCGCATATTTGCTTGCTTGCTGAGGATGAGGAGACTGAAATCACGGGAAGATGGCGGCTGAGAAATGTGTTGGTTGGGGACTTGATAGGACTGCGTCTGCGATTTAACAACAAGTTGTTTCAAGATGGCTGGTACAATCTGGTACCCTCACAAATCTTTGCGATGCTGTGTGAGAAACGTCCAGCTGACTTTGAGCTGAGGTTACGAGTCCTGTGATGTACGTGGAAGGAGGGACGTGGACGCTCTCTTGCTGTGATTTGCGAGCTGTAGGAACTTTCCTCCTATCTCTCCCTCCTCGCTCTGCTCCCTCCCACTTCTTGCAGCACTGCCTGCAGTTCCGTGACCTCGTGGTGGCAGGGCAATGCGCAAGTGTTCATCGCCCTCTCTTCCTCCCACGTCAAGTTTCGATCGTGCTGGGTCGGCGGTCTGGGGCCGCTGGAGCAGAGGGCGAGGAACGGGATCATCTGCCAGGAGTTTGCGACGGTGGAGGTTTCAGGCAGCAGCATACAAGCTTGCTTCGGAGCAGGGGTGAGTGTGCGGGCGGAGGAAGCCAGGGGGGTTGACGATGGGCGACCTGAGTCCAGGTGTACATCTGCGACAATGCGACAGTCTCCCTGAACAACTCCAAGGTCCGTCATGCTCCTCCTCCTCCTCCTCCTCCTCCTCCACCTCCTCCGCGACCTCTTCATCAGCATCCTCATGAGAAGGTGGGCGTGATGGTGATGAACGACAACGCCTTCAGCATGATCACCAGCACCACCAACAACATCATCATCATTATCATGTTCATCATCGACAGCAGCATCATCTTCTTCGTCGTCGTCTTCATCAAACTCAAGATCTTCATCAAATTC